CTAGGTGGCGGTGGAGAAAGTAGAGAGTTAAAAGTAGAGAAGAGACGACGAGGACTGGATGACAAGGTATTAATAAGAGTGACAAAGTAGGCTTGTTTTGCAGCATGAAGGGAGGAATTGTATGTTAAGAAAGCAGATTTATGTCTGGTGAATGCTTGCTGGGATTTGATAGTGGGTAGTTCAGAGGAGAGAAAGTAGGGCAGCCAGGCATAGAAATCATCAAGAAAGCGGGACACGGGTCCAGGAGGCCAATAGATCACTGAAATCCTCAGAGAAATGGGAGAAAACACCCGGATGCAGTGAGTCTCGAAAGAAGAGAAGAATAGAGAGGGAGGGTTAGGGGAGGACTTGAAAGGTGCTGAGTGGGGATAAAAGCAAACCAACCCCACTACCTTTCCGACCACTGGGTCTGGGTGAGTGGGTCTAGATGAGGCCTCCATAGGAAAGTGCTGCGGGGGAAGCAAAATCTGCTGCTTAGAGCCAGGTTTCTGTAATTGCTAGTAGGTTAAGGGAGCGGGAGACAAAAAGGTCATGGACAGAGGTGAGCTTATTACAGACAGAGCGGGCATTCCAGAGCGCACATGAAAAAGGGGGGGGGGGGTTTTTGGGAGCACGGGGACTGATATTATATTGAGGGGATTGCGGCTATTCCCGGAAGAAGGAGGATGCCTGGTATGTGGGTGAAATACTGGAGGACCAGGGTTTGGGGAGATATCCCCAGAGGTTAGGAGAAGAAGAAGGGTGAGGAAAGTAACATGGGAGAGCGGGATGTAAACAAGCGCACATGCATTCCAGGCCTGGTGTTTGGGTCAGCAGGAGAGTGAAGTATCAGCAGGAGGTGATGAGAGCAGTAGTAGGGAGATGATAGCAGTGAGAGGGGAGATGTACAAGTTTTGGGGTGGAGCAGAGGGGTAAAGAAGTGAGATTTTGGGGAACGCAGGAAATTAATATGAAAAGGAGCAGTGGAGGGGACATGTTAAAAGGTACACAGAGTGGGACACGGACTTGAAGAGATGTTTCCCAGGGTGTTTGCTTGCAATCTGTCCAGCATGCAGTAGAGTTTCTTGCTGTTGTTGTATCTTCATGCTGCTTGAGTTATCCTGCTTTAGTTCAACTGATCTGTTTAACTGCTTCTTAGCACTCCATCCACGCAGCACTCACGCAAACGTAGCACCCCATCAGTGACTGTGCCCCCCCATCAGTGATCTCCCCCCATAAGCTGTTCTAAATTTATAGGGAGATGGCCAAATGAGCACTCTTCTCCGCCCCAATTAGGAACTGATAAGGATCACATGAATAGGGGGGGATGTTTCTCAAACACACCAGACACAGACTACAGTCATAAAATGAGTGCAGCTAGAGGTGAGAACTAAACAACATATACAAGAATATATATACACTAGTTGTTCTGAATTTAAGAGGAGTCAGTGCGTTATTGTAGTTAAGAGTGGAGTGAAGATAGGAGCATTTACCTGTGAAAAGCAGAAAAGGCATGACTAGATTGCTGTGTTTAACTGCTTCTTAGCACACCATTAACGCAACACTCACACAAACACAGCACCCCATCAGTGACTGTGCCCCCCTCCATTTTTAATCTTTTTTTACACTACATGTACCATGTACCACATACTCATTCACATGGGGGGGGCGGGATTCCGATGAGCCCCCCACCTGCAGACCCCACAACCACCGGCCATCAACATGGGGACAAGGTGCTTTGGGTGGGAGCCCTTCCTGCCCCAAAGCACCCCCCTATGTTGAGGGCATGTGGCCTGGTATGGTTCAGGGGGGACGCTCGCTCACCCCCCCTTTCCTGACTTACCGGGCTAAGGGTGTCACGAACACTGATGGCGACCTCTAGTAGCCCACTGGCCGGAGTCCCCCAGGGCGCAGAGTCTAAGCCCAGGTCTGCTGGTTCACCAGAGCCCCTGATGGTGGGGATGGACTTGATGCAGACCAGGACCAGGTTTGCGACCCCTGAGTAACACCAACTGTGGTAAAGGCAACCACCAATGGCATGTAGCGGGTAGGAGCCAGATGTGAAGAGGTCAGGCAAGCCGGGTAGGATGGTCAGGGCGAGCCAAAGGTCAGGGCAGGAGAAGACAGCAGTATCAGGTCAAGGCTGGGTCAGCAACAAGGCAATCAGCATACAGGAAGAGCAGGAACACAGGAACAGGGAGAAGACCATCAGGCAACTTGTGTCTGTGCAGGGCTGGTTTAAGCAGCCCGCCCGGCGCTGACAGGCGCGCCTGGGTCCTAGTGCCTGCCCAGCGCCGTTATAGGTGACAGGTGCGCCTGGGTCCTAGTGCCCGCCTGCCTGGATGTCTTGTCGGACACCTACGCATGTGCAGACTCGCGGTGGTCCCTGACAAAGGGTCTGGTATGAATTTTAGGGGGACCCCCACTCCATTTTAAAAAAAATGTAATTGCTGGGCAATGCCAGCAATTCTTTTTACATTCAGCAGTTAATGGGGAACCCCACTGACAGCTGAAACAGTAAAGAATGTTTTCACTACTAAAATACAGCATGACTTAATAATATGCGGTATTTTAATAGCTGTGCGGTAGCTTTCTGCATATTTAGATGCGTAAGATACCACTTAGTGAATTGTCCCTGTTCAAAGTTTGTGGTAGAACGTTTGTCAGGTTCAAGTGTTCTACCTCGAACCAAGCAGGGGGTTGTTCGGCCCATCACTAGTAGTCATCACTAGTAGCAACTGTATGCTTTTCCACCAGACGAGTCAACCAATCTCCATGGGACTCACATCCTGTCTCCAATCTTCTGCAGGAGAGTCAACCAGCCTACATGGGACTCCATCCTGCCTCCATTGAAGATCAGCAGTCAGGCCTCATCACACCCAGGCCCCTTCAAACAGGCAGGCCTAAAGCAGCAGCTGCGTCAAACACACCCTCCCCAGGCCAGAGCCTGGGGGAAAGAGTTTGCATCAGCCAGCCCCAAATATTTATACACTTTTCATAATGCACCATTGAAAAAGGAAACTCCTAGGGGTAGGCTGGGAAAAGATATGCATATTCATAATCCAGACCTACAGTACGTACTGTGGGATTGCTCACTAATACCAAAGGTGACAGTGCCCCAGATGGACATAAGGGAGAACTGACACTCAGGCTGGACTTAGGGAAGCTGAACAAACCGAAAACTACAAATTAGCATTGGCTGACTGCAGCCATGCAGAACTAAATTTAGACTCTCCAGCTTAAGGCAGGGTGGCTACACATTCCCTGGAATTCATAAAGACTGGAGCAGAGAAAATTAACAAAAGTGTCTCATCGGCTGTAAGAAAGTGGTGCTGAGACACTTTTGTTATTTTTCTCTGCTCCAGTCTTTATGTACCTGTCTGGACCAGGTACTTGATTTGGGCGCAATACTTTTCTATTTGTCTCACACCTGGTGCTCTACTTGTATCCCACTTTGGCACAAATGCAGTTTAAATTTTCACACGTTTCTTCTGAGGGGAACTAGCTTATTAAGCTTGCTATTGTATTTGGCGCATTACTTTTAAGATGTTGCACGGCTCTTGCACTCTAACTTTCCTACTGCACTTTGGCGCAATGCTGGTCTGATTGTTGCATGCCTCTTTTTGAGGTAAACTGGTGCTCTATCATTCCTCTTTCAATTTGGCACAATGCTGTTCTAACTGACATACGCATCTCTGAGGAGAACTGGCGTTGGCGGTTCAGTTTGTAGTGAAGCTGCTCTAACTGGCATACGCATCTCTGAGGAGAACTGGCGTTGGCGGATCAGTTTGTAGTGAAGCTGCTCTGACATACACATCTCTGAGGAGAACTGGCGTTGGCGGTTCAGTTTGTAGTGAAGTTGCTCTAACTGGCATAAAATCTCTGAGGAGAACTGGCGTTGATGGATCAGTTTGTAGTGAAGCTGCTCTAACTGACATACGCATCTCTGAGGAGAACTGGCGTTGGCGGTTCAGTTTGTAGTGAAGCTGCTCTAACTGACATACGCATCTCTGAGGAGAACTGGCGTTGGCGGATCAGTTTGTAGTGAAGCTGCTCTAACTGGCATACGCATCTCTGAGGAGAACTGGCGTTGGCGGATCAGTTTGTAGTGAAGCTGCTCTAACTGACATACGCATCTCTGAGGAGACTTGGCGTTGGCGGATCAGTTTGTAGTGAAGCTGCTCTAACTGGCATACGCATCTCTGAGGAGAACTGGTGTTGGCGGATCAGTTTGTAGTGAAGCTGCTCTGACATACACATCTCTGAGGAGAACTGGCGTTGGCGGTTCAGTTTGTAGTGAAGTTGCTCTAACTGGCATAAAATCTCTGAGGAGAACTGGCGTTGATGGATCAGTTTGTAGTGAAGCTGATCTAACTGACATACGCATCTCTGAGGAGAACTGGCGTTGGCGGATCAGTTTGTAGTGAAGCTGCTCTAACTGGCATACGCATCTCTGAGGAGAACTGGCGTTGGCGGTTCAGTTTTTGTAGTGAAGCTGCTCTAACTGACATACACATCTCTGTGAAGAACTGGCACACACTTTCTTTTGGAGAAAATCTATCAAGGTAACATCTTCCATAGAGCCTTACCAAATAATAGTACCGCAGTTATAATAAAATCCATGTTTGAAGCATTTCTGAAATGAATCCTATTGAAGATATTCCTGAGTCTCAACAACTTAGGTCTAATAAAAGACTTTCTAATCCAACATCAACTGAACAAATTGGAAGAAAAAAAACACCAGTCAGTTTCTATAATCACCACCACACCAGTCATATGAAGATGCTGTACTGCTCTGGTGCCAGTATGTAAAAAAAATGTACCGTATTTTTCGTTCCATAAGACACACCTGACCATAACACGCACCTAGGTTTTAGAGGAGAAAAACAAGAAAAAAAATATTCTGAACCAATGGACTGCAGACACAGTACAGGGGATGACCAGAAACTGCGGAAACAGTACAGCGGATGACCAGAGACTGCGGACACAGTACAGGTGATGACCAGAGACTGCAGACACAGTACAGGAGATGACCAGAGACTGCGGACACAGTACAGGAGATGACCAGAGACTGCGGACACAGTACAGGGGATGACCAGAAACTGCGGAAACAGTACAGCGGATGACCAGAGACTGCGGACACAGTACAGGAGATGACCAGAGACTGCGGACACAGTATAGGAGATGGCCAGAGACTGCGGACATAGTACAGGAGATGGCCAGAGACTGCGGACACAGTACAGGAGATGGCCAGAGACTGCGGACACAGTACAGGAGATGACCAGAGACTGCAGACATAGTACAGGGAATGACCAGAGACTGTGGACATAGTACAGAAGACCAGAGACTGTGGACACAGTACAGGAGATGACCAGAGACTGCGGACATAGTACAGGGAATGACGAGAGACTGCGGACATAGTACAGATGACCAGAGACTGCGGACATAGTACAGAAGACCAGAGACTGTGGACATAGTACAGGAGATGACCAGAGATTGCGGACATAGTACAGGGAATGACCAGAGACTGCAGACATAGTACAGGGAATGACCAGAGACTGCGGACATAGTACAGAAGACCAGAGACTGTGGACACACTGCAGGAGATTACCAGAGACTGTGGACACAGTACAGGAGATGACCAGAGACTGCGGACATAGTACAGGGAATGACCAGAGACTGCGGACATAGTACAGATGACCAGAGACTGCGGACATAGTACAGAAGACCAGAGACTGTGGACATAGTACAGGAGATGACCAGAGACTGCGGACATAGTACAGGGAATGACCAAAGACTGCGGACATAGTACAGGGAATGACCAGAGACTGCGGACACACTGCAGGAGATTACCAGAGACTGCGGACACAGTACAGGAGATGGCCAGAGACTGCAGACACAGTACAGGAGATGACGAGACTGTGGAAATAGTACAGGGAATGACCAGAGACTGTGGACACAGTACAGGAGATGGCCAGAGACTGCGGACACAGTACAGGAGATGACGAGACTGTGGACATAGTACAGGGAATGACCAGAGACTGTGGACACAGTACAGAAGACCAGAGACTGCAGACAGTGCAGGGGATAACCAGAGACTGCAGACAGTAAAGGAGATTACAGAGACTGTGTACCTTTGGGGAGGGAGGGGGAACGGGTACCTGAATTTGACAGGTACCTGCTCCCACTTCCGCGGAGTTGTCCTTCCTTCTTCTTCCCGCAGCGGCTTCTGTGACAGCCGGGTGCCCACTGCGCATGCGCGAGAAGCGCTGCGCTTTGTGAATGGCTCGGAGCCTTCTGGGAGCTATCATGTGTCACCGGACACCGGACCATTCACAAAGCGCGGGGCTTCTCGCGCATGCGCAGTGGGCACCCAGCTGTCACAGAAGCCGCAGCGGGAAGACTGCAGCGCTGGAGCGAGGAACTGGTAAGGTCCTGCAGGAGAGAAGAGCTGAGCGGCCGGCCCGATGTTCTGACATGGTGGCGGCAGAAATACCGGAACGGCCGCTTTACATTCGCTCCATAAGACGCACTGACATTTTCCCCCCTTTTTTGGGGGAAACAAGTGCGTCTTATGGAGCGAAAAATACGGTACTTCATTAAATTTCTTCATTTTCAAAAAAATTGTGACGAAAAATTACAACTTCAAAAAATTTTCCATGCCTGTTATTAAATATCTTGACCTGCCTACTTTCTAAATAGGCATAATTTTGGGGGTATTTATACTGTCCTGGCATTTTAGGGTCTCAAGAAATGAGATAGGCCATCAGTACATCAAGACTGATCAATTTTCAAATATATACCATAGTTTGTAGACTCTTAAAGTTTCACACAGACTAAATAATAAACACTAATTTGAGTTATTTTTACCAAAGAAATTTAGCAGAATACATTTTATCCTAAATGTATGAAGAAAGATTATTTATTTGCAAATCTTTATAACAGAAGAAAATGTAGCTTTTTTTCCAAACTTTGTGTATTTTTTGTTTATATAGCAAAAAATAAAAAAAAAAAAACAGTGGTGATTAAATAGCACCAAAAGAAAGCTTTATATGTTTCAAAAAAATTATACAAATTTAATCTGAGTACAGTGTTGCATGACTGAGTAATTGGTATTCAAAGTTGACAGTGCTGAAATATGTAAATTTGCCAGGGCAGAAAGAGGGTGAAAGTGTCGAAATGACCAACTAATTAAGTAATTAAATATATAATATCACTATCTAAATGGCACTGACAATGACACTGCCACTAAATGACACTCAGTAGACTAGGCCGAGTCTTTCTTTTTATTTTTTCAACAGACCTTTACATATGTACACATCTTTGTGGATTCATTCTGTGCTCAATCTGTCTGAGAGAGTTGTTCTTAAATTATCTCCAGTTTCGCAATAGGCAAGCTGTTGTTATTTAATTTTGAATTTGGCACAAATAATGCAACAAAATTAAAAAGCGTCTTAAATAAGTACTGGCTCAATTTGGTGCACGACTTGCAGATAGGAAGAAAATTGGTGCAAATGGTTATTGAATTTGGTGCAAAGAATTTAACAATGGCTTTTAATGCCGGAAAAGTGGCACAGGACCTTTATTGTCTTTGTGCCTTCTGTTTCTAAAAGGTGCACCACAGACTGTGCACAAACATATTTTCTGAAAAGCAAACTAAAACAAAAAAAAATTAAACACGAACGTAATCGGTTCGATTAGCAATAAATCAAGCATGTGCAAACTATATGGAATATCAAAATTCCATTTCACAGTAGGCAGTAGGAAGAAGGAAGCTTATGTACAGGTGCTTATTATTGGCACCAGTATTCTATGTACCAGTGTATGGAATCTCATACACCAACTAGTCCTTGAATTCTGTGCATGTGCTGACAGATCTGAACATGAGCAGTACAATACCCCTGTATGGTTTGCTAAGGCTTTTTAGAATTATTTTTTTTCTACAGAATGCCATGAACACATCATTTTATTTTATTCTAATATGTTATGAAACAAATTTTTAGACACTCCATGGTTTAGCTGGTATATATTCGAATGCTGGAGTGTACATTTCATAGCACACAACCCCTGTTAGTATTTAGGTGTACATACACTGTCCATGCACGTTTAAGTCACATTGTGGGTGGACATTAGATTCTATGAGCATGCAATGTCCTATTTGCATAGGGTCCATCTATGGTTGTGTGCACATATCCTTCAATACATGAATTCTTATGTGTGAACTTTAACAGATGTACAACAGGAAATGCCCAAGTCAAGGTTGACTTTTCTATATATTTTCTCTATATATATATAAACTCTCAGCATCTGTGGACCACTGCACAATTTCCACACTGTCTACAAGTGCTGAAACCTCTCATTCATCAGTCATTGGGTGATATTATGCTGAGAGGGAAGCAAAACCAGAAGTGCTATTCAGAGGAAAGAACAAAAAATCTTCTAGCTTTTTGAACTACATCTGTTATACCAATTATAGGGGCTACCATTGGTCTAGGTGACTGGTTTGTCCTTAAAACCAAGAAACTAGCATTTTCAGGTGGAAAGGTTAGCCTCCAAGATTTTCTCTGATGGCAGGTTACTATGCAATAGCCATGGGATCCCTGTAGAAACTGGAAATCACTGTAGTAGACACCACTACTCCAGTGCTGTCCGCCAGCTTCTGGGTCCCATGTCGAGCAGCTGCATTGTTGCATTCTGAGCACAGACATAAAATAACAAGTCACTGCTCAGCTTGGGCACCTTTCAAAGGTCACTTTGCATTTCTCAATGAATGCAAATCATTCTCTCATTGGATGGAGTGGAGAGCAAGACATCAATACCCCAACTCATCCAATTAGAGAATGCTTGGCATCAGAAATCATTGGGAAAGCTAGGGGAGTTTATTAGAGTAGTGGTGTCTATTTCAGTGACTTTCAACTTCTAGATGACATTATGGCTTCTATTCTCCATACTGCTTTTATATTTGTTACATTCCCACAGGTATGGTCAGGAACTATCAAAGTTTAATGCATCCCACAAGTATGGTATATACATAGCTATATTGGCCCAAGTTAGACCAATGTAACTATGTAAAAATTCTATACCTGGTATTCTTCTTTAAAGTAAAAGCGGAACCTTACCCATAACAACTTGATAAAAAATAATGTTCTTTTGAGAGGGAAGCAAGGAACATTCATTAATAATTATGCTATTACCAAAATTAGTTTTTGCCGTAACATGCCTCCGGCATTGTTCCTGTTTCTTCTTGCGAGAGGACGCAGCTGCCATTTTGCTCAAGCCTAGAGCCCTTGAGCAGCAGTAAATCTTTAGGCCGTCAGCAGACTGACCTCTAGTGGCTCTGATTTTCAGCACAGTACAAAAAAATAAAGAGCAACTGAGCATGTGCAGAGCAGGGTGAGGCCATGTTTTACTAATCTTTAAACATTATAGGCCCTTATTTTTAATGTTTTGCTGTTGCTATATCTGCAAAATGGGCCAGCCTGAAGTGATCTAGTAGGACTTAATTTTCTGAGTAACGTTCCACTTTAAGGCCGCCCACAGCTGAAGTAAACATATCTGGCAATCCATTAGCTTATCCAGTGTTTCCTATAAGTCCCTCCCCTGAGGTTCTGGCTCTCTCACATCTGTGTTAGTGTTCTCTGCTCTGCTTTGGGTTCCTCCCTCAGCGTGGACTGAGTGACAATACTGTTAGATGTTGCACCAGACAATGTCACTGCAGTGGCAGGGAGGATATCTTTATGCTGAAGTCTTCAAGACATTTAGGGCCACTGTGCACAGTTCATCAATATTTCATAAACTGGTTTGTGTACAATACTTGTTACTAATGTTCTAAAAAGTGTACTCTATATACACATTGCTGGAGATTATTAGAACAGATGACATTTAAAATGTAACATAACATAACATTCCTTCCTTCATAGACAAACAAACGCATTTTAAATTTATTTCAAGTCACATTTGCCTGTTTAACATGAACTAGTAGCTGTAATAACTCTGAGCAAACCATCGTGTCCTCTCTGTGCCATAAACCGCCACCAAGCTAATCATTCCGTAAAGAGTTGTTTTTTTTCTGCAAACTCTTCCCCATGTACAGAATGTTAATAGCTGACTGAATAATATGAATAGGCTTTGTGAAGCCACTTGAAACAGAGAAAAATGGCCTAAGCATTAAAAAGATAAAAGGGAAAAGGCCAGTAATGAATTTAGAGGAAAATGGACATTAATGGCACTAGCATTACTCATGTTCCACATAGCAAATTATTGGATATCTGTCAAGCACACCAAATTATCTACTCATCTGCTACGTGGGGCCATCCAAAGCCATCCAAACCAGCAAAAGCAAGACAATTTGAGCTAATTTTACTATTTATAACAATAGAACAGGCCATTAAGATAAATTAATGCCATTATCAAGTTTCTATGAACACGACAAATACCACTATTTCTGCATGTTTTGCAGGCTGTTGACTAAAATAAAATAGACAGTACCGGTACTATAAAGAAACACTCCAAATAATTATTTTCTAGTGCCTTGTTTCTCCATCTTACCCATTCATTTGCTTTCAACACAATTAGTTCTGTATACAATATGAAGTAACGAAAGAGTCAACACTATGCAACATTAGCACTAATTGACCAATTAGAAGCTGGTTGGTAGCCTTTTAGATGTGATGTTGTGTTGTTTCAGATTGGTCATATATACAGTACATACTGTACTGGTGTGCGGAAAACAGTGGATGTATACAAACATTTGCTATGTAGTGGAAACTAAAAAAAATATACATATATGTAGAGTGTACATAGTCATGCAAGTACAGTTCATGGAAAATGTTGACTTTTGCCACATATATACAGCATTTATAGTCATGTAAGTACACCCCGTGGAAAATGTTGACTTTTTTCACATATTGGAAAAGGCAAACCTTGGATGTTTGTTAGAGGTGATATACCAAAAACAATTTGCCTTTGCCAATATTTATTCAACAGATTTATCAAAATATGTAATACTATATTTTGTGTAAAGGGTAAGTGTGTCCTTGTTCTCTGATGCTGGTAGTAGCTTTAGAAAAAATTTCTTGTTGGTATTTTTCAAACCTGTCCAATTGTCTCTGACATTAAACAGGTGCAATTTGTTTGCCCACTTCTACATGCAAAATTCCTTAGGTTGCAAGATGTTTGTGGTTTTCATAGCATAAAC